GTCTGTCTGTCTGTCTGTCTGTCTGTCTGTGTGCGTGTTTCTGTCTTTCTGTGTGCGTGTTTCTGTCTGTCTGTGTGCGTGTTTCTGTCTGTCTGTGTGCGTGTTTCTGTCTGTCTATGTGCGTGTTTCTGTCTGTCTGTCTGTATCCGTATATTATTGCCGCACTTACCACACTCTATATCCCTAACCACTCAGGTGCTGATATACACTAAAGAAAATTTTGATTATCTGACGTCAAAAACAAGAGATTTCAGAGACTCCATGTTTGATGCTACGTTACCATGGCAACTAATTGACAGCGCTGCTGGTCGTGTGTCCGTACTCAAGTGAGTCTCATTGAGTAATTAATTAGATCAGTATAAAATGATTAATGGTGTATTTTATGTAGAAAATTTTGGATTTCAGCCAATCAAATTGCTTGTTATATCATTCTGTTTTAAATGACACAGGTCTCCAACGTGTATGTGGCATGCTGATGGCAACTTCTACGCATTTGAGGGTAACGCCTTAAGCCCCGTTTACCCTAGCGATTTTTGCGGCGATTTTTGCTGCGATTGTTTTTGCGATTTTGTCCATAATAAATAATGGTAAAGAATTTACTTGTAAAGAGTCTTTTTTCAGGATACCAAGATTTTCCTAGACGAATGTCTCTTTTGAAGGATGAGACAAAAGATTTCATATTTCCGAAAATTGCCACAAAAATCGCAGCAAAAATCGCCGCACAAATCGCCAGTGTAAACGGGGCTTTACAATCACCTAATGAAAAAATAATTTTTTAAATGTATGACATTAAGTTACAATAAAATTTTATCTTCTCAAAAGTATCTTGAATGCAAGGCTAGCATGAAATGCAAAAGAATTGGAACAAATTCCATTGAGAAAAATTATGATTTTCTGTTTTTTTATTTTAGCCTTGCATCCAATATCGTTTTGCGAAGGGTCCATTTTCCTGTCATTTATGGTAAACATTTCCAGCTGCTAATTTTAAACCCTTTTTTTCAACAGGTTGTAATACCAAATCAGGTTAGTACTTTCTCTTTGTTTTGTATTAAATTTTTCAAACCAAGATGCGCTGTTAATGTTTCTCCGATTTCCCCTCTGACTTCTGCTACAGATGGATGGATGACCGACCGCCGACCGACCACCCGTTGGTCTGACCGAACAAAAGGATTGTAAAGATCAGAGTTGTACATTTGTGGGCCATAATTCATTAACTTTTCTTTCCAAACATTAGGATGTTGTCCCCTGAACTGTACTCATGTGTGGAACTATGAAATGGCTCTAGCAAAGTAGGTTTATTATACATACAAAACAAGATTTGTCCCTTACTTCCCACACCCCTTCCCTGGGAATATTAGACTACCTACTGATCTTTGCTCGGCCAAATTAACCCAAGCAAACCCGAAACAGTGACCATGGCAAATACGCTGTCTAGTGATCAGTGCCATCTTGTCCTTTATACTAAGCCCGCCTGTCTGTAGGTCAGTGACAAGAAACAAGAGGCTCTAGAGAGATGAAATTCCAATAATAAAATTTTTGCTTTATGTTTCAGTGCGCATAAGTGAATTGTAGAGTTAATGACGATGACGATGATGATGTTGATGGTGATGATGATGATGATGATGCTGTGATGATGATGATGCTGCGATGATGATGATGGTGATGATGATGATGCTGTGATGACGATGATGATAATGTTATGGCTGATGATGATGATGATGATGTTTCATTGTCTTACCTTTGTTTTATCTTTCTGTTCAGGTGTTACCCGGATGTTGAACGAACAATGAGAAAAGTTGATTTTGCTGAGCAGATGACACCTCATGACGTCATTCCAAGGTATTACGTCACTTTTAACGAAACATTTTGCTCGCCTTGACTATCAAATTCATTCCTTTTTGTTAGTCCATGTTTTCGTTGTTATGCGTCCTGTGTAGGTCTCTATCATTTATCCATTATTTCATCACCCACTGTTTCAAAACCCTCTTATTTCTCCATTCTCTACCAAGATGATGACTATGAATGTGTTGCCCTCTCATCCATATGTTTACCCGCTATTTTCATACCCTCCCATTTTTCTACCCCTCCCATTTTCCTACCCTCCCATTTTCTTATTTTCTTATTTATCCTAGCCGTACAGTGGTGCCTCTTCTCCTTCGTCGTATATGGACCTTGTGGAACAACTACTCGATCAATCCTGATTCCACGTCCATCTGTGTTGACGGAGAGATTGGCACAGTACTCAAGACTTACCGAGAGGTAGACAAAGCAAACATCAATTTATCAAACCCTGAAACAACCTCTGGGCTGATCTAAGTCAGGACATGGCTAACTCACAGATTGAACCCTGAAACAACCTCTGGGCTGATCAAAGTCAGGGCACTGCTAACTCACATATCAAACCCTGAAACAACCTCTGGACTGATATAAGTCAGGGCATGGCTAACTCACAGATAGAACCCTGAAACAACCTCTGGGCTGATCTAAGTCAAGGCATGGCTAACTCACAGATTAAACCCTGAAACAGCCTCTGGGCTGATCTAAGTCAGGGCACGGCTAACTCACAGATCAAACCCTGAAACGACCTCTGGGCTGATCTAAGTCAGGGCATGACTAACTCACAGATCAAACCCTGAAACAACCCCGTGGCCGATCAAAGTCAGGGCACGACTGACTCACAGATATGATCCATTAAACAATTTCTTGGCTGATCTAAGGCAAGGCACACAGAGAAAAACCTTAGAGAAAAACCTTACATCAGCACGAAGACGCTAAGATTCAAATTTGTATCGATCAAATTTAAAGGTTTTAGACTAACTTTGTTAAACGCATCAGGTCAAGCAAGGCGCACCACGTGAATGGTTTGATACATACTGGCCGTACGTTAAACGTGTGATGAAAAGATGGATGACTGAACTAGACAACGGCCAAGGTAAACACAGAGCAGATTTCTTATAAATTATTAAACAGTACGGTCACAGATTTAAGCCAATCACAGCGCACAAGCTTACTGCTTAGCCAATAAAAATCCTCGGACACGATAATGCCTTTATAATTAACTTAATAATGTTGTTTGACATATAAGGCTGGAAAGAAAGGGGAGGAAGAAGCTATTTAGAATATAGAAAAAGTCAGCACTGGTGGCGGGGAGTAGGTAATGGCTTCCGATTTCAGATACTTGAATCATCATCAATCATCATCTTGAATCGACCAATCATGCCTTTCCTTTCCTAAATCTATCAACAGGTCTGATTACTGGTCCTCAACCCAACACGTATGACTGCGCCATATATGGAGTGAACGTGTACATTGGTGGATATTACCTGACTGCCCTGAGGTGGGTACCGTCTACATGTTGCATTCCCCCTCCCCCCTAACTCGCATAACCACGCCTATTTAACTACATACTTGTTTATTATTATTATTATTATTATTATTATTATTATTTCTTTCTTTTTTTGGAGCTTATATTTAAATCCAGTTTCAAAGTATTTTCTTCTTTCTTGTTGTACTATTCTATGGAAATATTATTTTGAGGTCATTTTTCGCTGTCAACCATAATACAAAGGAAGGAAGGTATGGATCTGATAAACGTTTTTCTTCTGTTTTAGAGCTGCCGAAGAGATGGCAAAACTTCAAGGTGAAATGGTAAGAGTCTTATCGTTACCAATGTTTTCCTTGCTGCGAATTAATCGATACAAAAGTCGTGTCATTTAAATCTGCCGTCACTGTCGTCAATCAGATACATCGTTAGAGTACGTAGCTATATGCGATTAACGATTTAACGATTTATTTGATTGTCGGTAGTCTAATGCCGATTGATATGTGGATACTTTTTTTCTCAATCAGCGGTTAGGAATGAAAACAGTGGTAAAAAATAGGTGCACATGTTTTCACTACGTGCCCTGATTGGCTAAATTTTGGCTGGATTTTCTCTGGATTTTCTCAGTCAATCAGATGCTTAATAGTCAAAAATATATGCTATTATAACTTGTCTATCCCACAGGATCTTGCTACCTCTTATCATGATAGATTTGAGCTGGGCAGTGCAGAACTCGACAAAAAATGCTTTAATGGGAAATGGTACATCCAGGTAAATGACTTTGGATTTGGGCTTCCTGTGTTAAGAAAGAAGGGAAAGAAACTGGAACAAAGTTACAATCCACCCCAGTGCTTTCTCTATCCTTTGTAAACCACGGGAAGCCCAATATTACTCATTTGGGTAATACTGGAGAATATGCTCGGAAATTCTACGAAGCAGCTTCCTTAGCATGTTGACAATATAATATACATATATAGTGGTCGCGAAAGTTGTACGACAAAAAGCCTACATTGTTTCGCCATACATAGATTGTAATTAATACATAGTTTTCTCCCTCTTTAGATTGTTGACACAGAACATCCTGTCAATGAAGTTGCCGACAGTAAGTAAACATATTACCTTCGGCTTTCTTTAATTTTTCAATTTTTTCTGCAACAATTTTTTTTGCCACAATTCTTCAGGTACTTGGGTCGACTGTCTTGTTGGTCAGTGGTGGGCGCATGCGCTTGGACTAGGTTATATTCTAAAAAAGGAGAACATTAAAAGCACGCTGATGAACGTGTTTGAAAGAAACCACGTGGACAGCTTTGATCCAGGTAAGTATGCTTCATTGCTTGTTTGCTTCATTTGCCCAGAGTTAGGACGGAATGTGCTAAAAAAGCCTTTTACTATCATGGCTGTATAGTTTTTAATGAAATCGTTAAATAATGTATTTGATAGATATTTAGATTTTTAATGGTCGTATTTTATATACCTACATATTACAATATTATGATACCTACATATATGCATGCAAGAGT